AGACTCACATGGCCGTTCACACAAACACTCAACCAAACCAACAGGCACTCACTGACTTCTGTACATGCACAAACAGATGGTAAGAAGTGATTTTTTTTTTGCACAATGCTGGGGAGAGAGAGAGAGAGAGAGAGAGAGAGAGAGAGAGAGAGAGAGAGAGAGAGAGAGAGATGCAAAATGGGAGGGAAAATATTGTGAGGAGAGAAAGTATGAGACACAGGGAAGAGCCAACAGATGAGGAAAAGTGATGCCTATTTCAATAAATGCGTGCATGTGTGTAAATACGTTTCTGTGAAAATCACCATATATTTACTTTTAGCTGCCGTTGTAATAACATTATTTGTTTAGACGCGAATAAAATGCACAGGCATTCTGCCATCTCATAACAAAGTTACACATACAACGAGCTACATGCGTTGTGTAGTTTTATTAAACTTGGAAAATAATGCAGGAATTCTCATTCATAAATACAAAAACAGTCTCCGATTTTACAGAATGCCAGTGTAGGAGGAATAACATTACTCTGCTATACGTTTTATGAAGAGTCTATTGTAAATGTCTTTTGCTGGTTCCCTCCCCCCATCCCGCCCCACCCCCATAGAACAGGCATATTTTATACTTTGATATCGTGTGTGATTTCACAAGGCATTTAGGATAACAGCGTATAAAAATTGCTTTGGCTCCAGTACTGCACTCCGTGGCATTCAGGACCATATTATGAAATAGTGCGTTATTAAATGCTCTCTAATACTGTTTTGCCTCAAGCGTCTTCAACCCTCTATCATATCTTCCCTAAGACCAACATGCCCATGGTTTCCTGTCACGGTTTTATGTAAATACAGGACACCAATCTTTGTATCACACACATCTGCACCAATGGATCAGTGGGTTGAGCTCAGGCCTAATTATTCTGCTCCAGTTAAAAAAAAGACAACTTACTGCTCATAAAACACAGCGGACAATCGCTCAGTTTGTTTGATTTAAATACTTAATCTAAAAGCCTTTTGTCATATTAGAAAGCCATCTATTCTGCGGGCTTTTCCATTACATGACCCACCACCCATACAAAAACCCACATGCATGGACTCTTCTCAAAAGTATACTATTAAAATTTTCCACAAAGCTACCATGCATGATTAACCAGGGCAGTGACAGGGTGGTGAAGTCTAGTTCATTGAGGCAAAAGGGGGGGGAAAAATGAATGGGAAATTCCTATCAACTATGACCTCAATTTAAACTTTAGCCCGCAGCAAATGAACCCCATGGTAGCAAAGTAGGCTAATGCTTGACCTTTGGCTTGAACACCAGCTTGATGTGGGATGAATGGTGAGCATAGTGACAGCAAAGGCTGCAGAAATTAACCATTACAAGCTGTCCCTCTTAACCCTTTTTAGTCATTATGCAAAAATAAATGCTTGTTTTTTTTCTGAGAAAGAAAAATATACAGCAATTTTATAATGTATTATATTCTCTTAGTAAAGCACAATTTTCCTAAAGAAAATGCAGGAAAATTATATTAATACTATGACAAAGACCTGTATGTAAAACTGTAGAAATGAATGAGTGATTTTTTTTTCAGTATGTACCTTGTGGACACTCTGTAATCAGGCAACTTAATATTCAAGGAACACAATTCAGTGTGAGTGGGCTAATAATATACTGTTCATTGTATAGTACATTGTACTTTACTGGCATTTGCTGAGCTAAATTAACACCGTCATCCTTTCGAAAAAGGCTGATGTTCTAGACTATTGTTGGAAAATAATAACTTCAAACAAAATAGGACTTTCAGTTAACCATTCACACTTTCAAGTTTTTATTCTGTTACAATATTAGTTGCAGACATCATCGTCTTCGTCTAAAAATTGTATTTGTTTTACTTCTACAAACTTGTGAGTCAGGCCAAATGAGACAAAAATAGTTTTATAGGTGAGTTGTTGTGTGAAAAGACCAGCGAAATTGCAGCTGAGCTGAACTGATGTTTGTTGTGCACGCCACATTAGTAACTCTCACACACACTTTGATGTATCAGAACAGAACAGGAGCAGACAGAATCAGTTCTTACCACTATGGCTTGGATTAGACAAATATTTAAAAACATGACTCATGGCCTTCTCATTCCTGGATTTCTCCAACCTGCTCGCATGCAATTATTTTTATTCCCTTTCATGCCAAACCCCAAAAAGAAAATACATAATGCAAAATCAGTATCTATCATTATACAACAAATCAGAGGGACTCCAAAGTTCTAATTTTTTACATTATAAATTTGTAAAACCTCTACAATTTTCACCAGTGCATTCTTGCAAATTTATGAGTTTTCAAATTTTCTTCACAAACTTCCACAGACTATGTTTTACCCCCGACTGTGTCCCGACTCCCAAGTGAAGTTTACAAACTTGTTCAACTAATTTGACTCAGGCAAACAAAGGAAAATGGTACACACAAGGACAAAATCATTGGTACCCCTCTGTTATTGACCCACAAATGTACGAAAATGTGCAACTGTAGTCACAGGAGCATTAAGCTGCTTGGAGATGGTCTTATAGCCTAATCTTGAACACGCTTGTGTATCATTTTCTTTTTAATCTCCTGGGACAACTCTCTGCTTCACTTCCAAACAATGCAGGAATTCTTGACACCCTTTAAATAGGCAGACTGATTGATTCCAAGTTTGAAAACACTTACAATGCTAATTAGAGGACATGCCTTATTTTAACATGACCCTGTGGTCAAATTATTCTCCATATTTTTCCAGATGTAACATCATTTTTGTCTGGGACTGTTTTATTGTTTTGTTTTGTTTTTTAATAATTCTGTTGAACCATAATTCAAAGGCAATGTGTGATTTTCATTGGTTAATTTTTAGTACATTTTTATTCACTATTACTTTTGTCATTTTGAAGTTATTCCAGTGACCTTTGTGGGTTTTTGGGTCATTAACGGTGACAATTGACAATTTTGTCCATATGTTGACCTTTTTTTTAAATAGACACAGAAGCCACATAATTAGTTTGTTTGCTACAGTAGCGATTGTCAACTGGCAGCCCTTGGGCAACATCCGGCCAGGGGAGCTAATTTCATCCGGCAGTATTAGGCTATCAATAAATTACATAGTTACTGTATATCATGAGCACACACGTGCTGTGACAAAGTGCTGCATGATAATACTGTAGTATTTCGTAATCGTCCACCGAAAAAAATCTTTTTTTTTAAAGACTGAGCAGAAATTAAGCCACCCTGCACCGGTTACATAAGCGATAGAAACCAAACTGCAACCAAATGAAACAAATGCATGAATGAGTGAACTCACAGACAAAATTATTTGCTAATTATTAGCATTGACGGACCTAATTTCCTATTTAGCATAGATATGCATACAGCTTACTACAAAGCCAAACTGTTCTCTACATGAATTTGAAAACATTACCAAAAAAAAAACCCCAAACATCTTTTAACATTAGTCACACACAAGCTGTAAAAATGAGTTACTGTATCATTAGGATACTCTTTTCATCCGAATACGATGTGAAGCAGCATGGGCAATATGCAATTACAAAAGAAGCATATGAAGTTTCAAGAACAAATGAAAACCCACAAAGAGACAGAGTTCGCACTAATATTTTTTGCTTGCTGTTTAATGAGGTCTTATGCATTTGCATTAAATTTTCTTTCTGTTTCATTTATCACACACAGTAATATACACTCACACATACAGTATATGATGAAGAATATCAATATAACTTGTTGGGCTTAAAATATCTTACACAAAGACCTACAAACCTATTGAGTATATTTTAAACAGATTACTTATCCCATGTATCATAGAGCAAAAAGGTACATTTAACAGGCTACCAGTCCTACAAAGGGCCAGCGCATATACCAGTTCACCTGATGCATATTAAGACTGTAGGAGGTCGCTGGACTATTTGGAGGGAACTCACACTGACAGAAAGAACTTGCAAACTCCCTTCATAAAGACCCGGGCCGAGGTTAAAACCCACAGCCAAGAGCGGGAAATGCCTGCTTTCCACTGAGAAAATGTCTTGCTGTTGTCCATGCTGTTCCTCTGACATGGTTTAGTGGGACACCAAAGGCAACTAAGCCATCATTAGTGTTATTAATTCCATCTGTGCTTTTCCCACTGTGGCAAATTAAAATGTCTGCTGTGAGAAAGGTCTACACTCACCCACTGCCAGATTGTCTAGATGTCTCTGCAGAATTACTGAGCCACTCTAGAATCTATTCTGCATCTCTGCGTCTGTTGTCCAGACCATGTTACATCTTTTTAACCAGTATCTGAGAGAATTAAACCAACGGATCTGTTATAAAGTCTTCTGGTTTACCAAGTGAAAATCAAGTTTGAAGTGTAACCTTACTGTTTTTGTTAGCATGAAACCATACATGGCTCTTTAGATGCTTGCCTTACTTTTCTTATATAAGACCTTTAACAGTCCACATAGCCCCAAGAGACTATTTCAATTACACATGAATGACCCATCCAATACACAGAGTGTATGATCCTCTTTTTGAGTATTTCATTCAAACGTGAGACTAAAATTTAACCAGCATCCTCAGGATAGAAATATTCAAATCCTTTTTTTTTATCTCCTTTCATTCCTAATCTTATCCATCTTCATCACTCCCAAGGAGAACCTCAACATCTTCAGCTTTGCCACTTCCAGTTCTGTCTCCTGATGTTCTGTCAGTGCCACTGGCTCCATACAGCACGGTTAGTCTCACTACTGTCGGGTACACCTTTCCTTTAATGTTTGCTGCCACCTTTTTGTCACGAATCAGTAGAAACTACAGCTGAGCAAAATAAAATCATGTGGAAGATGAAAATTAGATGTGACAACAGAAATGTGCCTTGGATTTAGATTTTAACTTCTGTATTTTCCAACAAGTTTAAATAAGTAACGAGTCGTTTTTTTTTTCCCCCATTAACCCAGAGCACAGGATTTTCCAAACAAAGAGAGTCCACAGCTGTTCAGTCTTACCTTAGTGTGAAGCTTTGACAACTGCTTTTCATCCAAGTAGGTCTGAGTGTAGACGCGTCTTTTGTAGCGGAACTGAAAAAAAAAAATGAAACAAAATCAGCTTAAGTTTTTACTTTTTTTTTCTTTTTTTTTGTTTGTTTGTTTGTGTCTTCACAAAAAATTTTAATGACAGTTTTAATTCGCTACTCAAAATAAATTAGCATGCAGAGTCAGCCTGTCAGACAAAACTATATGATTACTTCCACTAAATTAGTACAGCAGCTGACACAGAAAGGATAAAGATATTTTGCCCCTTTAAAAAGCTTTAATATCACTGAGGTAAACCAAACATATTCCCTAGAATTTCTACCGCCTGTTTCAGCATCTTTAATGTGTTGCTGTTCATCTTTTAATACATAGGAACATACTTTTATTACATTTATAAAAATGATGTGCAGAAATAAAGGTTTTACACTGAATATTCTCAGACTAGACTCCATAAATCAAAAACAAGTTGTCTTTTTGTTTGACTGGTAATTTCAAGATAAACTGATCCTGCAGGTACTTTTAAGAAAACAACCTTTTTTGAATAGTTGGCAACCTTAAACACCACAACACAATTGTTTAAACTTACTAACCTGAATCAACCAATCAGCAATCGATATTTGGAGAGGCAGATTATTTATAAGGTCTGAAACAATCTGTTTCTATAGTGGGCTCGGTCAGTTTTTGTGCATTTTTCCCTCTCTGCACTTCTATTTGATCTTTAACCAACAGAGTAAGTCCAAGAGAGCAAAAAGGATTTTTAAGTTGCAAACCTGCCAATCATCTCTACACACTCTATGCCTGAAGGAAGAACCATCAATGACAAACACACACTTCTCCAACACAATAGTGGCCGACAGAAAACACACACACACACACACACACACACACACACATATGCTGGGCACAGTTCACAACCATTTCACTCAACTGCAAGATGCAGTATTGCAAGTCCAACCATAAACCATTTAATGAGCATCATGCTCTGGTACAGATTAGAAATTGGTCCCATGTGCCTGTATGTACTGCTCTATTAACACAGAAATACACCAGCTGTAAACAATATGTCAGACACATTCTAATATTATCATTTACATAAAGCTTTTATATAATATTAAGCATAGAAAACACAAACAGAAGACAACTATACTGCTTTAACGTACCAGAAGTTTTTACTCTGCATTAATCTGTGTATCTGTTGAGCCGTTCCAAAATTATTGAAAAATGAAGGTAGCCAGTCAGGAAACCGTCTGACAACTTTAGTTCATTGTTTGCAAAGGGATTTTATGTGCCTGCAAGTTTCTCAGATCACAAACTATGATGGACAAGCACTGCAATTATTTCTGAGAGACAACAGCTGCTCGAGACAACACACTGTCATTGAGGACCGAAATATTGTTCCAACGTTTGACTGACACAGCACGATAAAGGGAAAAAAAATTAAAAATAAAAACTACGATGGAAACAAGCAGAAAGCACAAGCACAAAAGAGTCAGGATGAATTTTTAGGGGTAGACGAAAACAACAATTCAAGGTTTTATTCACCATGAATTAGAATCTCAAGCTAAAAGATGGAAGACAGAATGAACAACTAAGGATTTCTCTTCATCTATTTAAAATAACACAGGTGTAGTATGCTTCTGTTAATAAATAAAAACTGGTTTTACTTAAAGCTTTCTATGATAAGTTGAGGTGAATGTGAACTTAGTATTGTGTCAATTGAGATTTGTAATAATACTAATTGTAGAAGTAAAACATACATTTCTACTCTCCACAGGAGTCATTGATTTGTATTATGTATTGTGGAGCAGCACGTGCTCTCTTATGGTCACACTCATTGGTATTTTACACTAATGAACCACACCTACCTCCAGGTAAGGAACAGGAGCAAACGATGGGAAGGGGTATTCCCTAAGCTGTCTTTCCTCATCCAGGAACTTGCCAGCCTTGCCATTGTAAGCTGGCTGGAACAGGCCATAGTTGAGTACATCCTTCAAGCTCTGGTTGAGTGTACACAGGATTCGTTGCTTGGACAGCCAGATTGGAGCATCCACGTTGAATTTTAAACATTTCTGCAAAGGCGAGAAAAAACAGAGAAGGTTAGGCGTCTCATCGTTTCTGCTTACATCGTGCAGCAAGTTGATTCAGTGGTGTTCAAAACGAGTCATTTGCCTTTTAATAGAATTCAGGTAGCAAAAATGTGTTTATTTGCAATGTGGTGTATATAGTGAATATAAAAAGGATCAGTCACATTTGCTTTGATGGAGTTCTCTTGAGTAAAACCTGCAGTTATAATAGGTTCACAGGTACGGCCAGAGTTTCACTATCATTTATTACTTTTTACAAAAAAGGTCATTTTAAAGGCCAGTAGTGTTTACCACGCTGAGGTAAACAAAAAAAATATAATAATTATAATAAAAAACAAATGTAAATATGAGCTCTTAGTCAGGTGACCATTTTTCAGTTATATAAATTTGTGCCTACAAGCAAATGTGCATTATTAATTCAGAGAAACTTCAGTGAGCCAATATGTAATCATGACACAAATTGCAGCAGCTCTGTTTTCACAGGTATGCTATCGTGGGGAAAATGTGAAGAAAACAAGTCATTATATTCTGCATTTAACAAAATTAGCTCACGGTATTAAAGGCGAATAAAATCTAATGTATCCACCATATAACCTCATTAATGTATTTTTTATATAAATTATTAATTTAATCAAAAGTATGGCATATTATATTTGATACTTAAAACATTATGTTTTGATACCAGGAGCTTCAGAGTATTTATGTATGTGGTAGTAGTTAATAACAGCATTTCCAAACAATTAGCCTTAGTTACATTTGACTAAGAAAAAAATAAAAGAGAGAGCAAAAGTCACAAGTACTTAATCCCTAACTGCAGCTGGAAATATTGACTCTAAATCTAAAATATGTCCTGTTCACTCAGACACAGCCATTAAAAAAAATCACATCCTCTCTCTGTAATACAACAGAGCTAATAACCACATGCTGACAGCCACAAGCAGATGCACAGCAATACATTAATTTAAAAATCTTTTCTGGTTTAAAACAAAAAATAAAATAAACAGCTGAAGGTGCAGAGATGTAAAGCAAAACTTGTTAAAAGGAAAAAAAAAACAGCACAAATTCACACAAGCTGGATTTTTATTGCTTTTATATTTGTCTAATATATAGATGGTTGTAGCAGAGCAGAGCCTTCGACTTGTGTAAAAAGAAAGACTATGTTAGAACAAATATGAAATAAAATATATTTTATCAAGAAGAATATGAGGGGATTGTCTGTCAGTACAATGTGCATGTCACAGAAGGGAAATTAAATAATCACTTTTACTCAATTGATTAATATAAACTATCACAATGTTCCTGAAATTTTGATGTACTATATTAAGGAGGGGTATGATTACCTCATATTAGTTGGCGTTAGATTTGTTTTACTCAAAACATTTTGAGGCTGCGCATATCCACATTTTTCACAAAAATGTCTCACTTATGGTTGCTATTCAGAAGACGTCATAAATTCTTGGGCTGGAAATGTTTTATGCTTCAGATATTTTTGTGTATCTGTCTGTTTGCTTTCATGCAGTTTGGTAAAAAAAAAAGTTAATTCCACAACAATGAACAGACTTCCAAATAACTTGCACACAAGCATGAAAGTTTAGAAGCAGGTGAAAATGTTCATGTTTGTTTTGATCCATTTAAAATGTAATTGTGGAAGTCATGAAATTGAAAAACATCAATAGAAGTAACGTCATCCTCGAATCAAGCCTACCTTTTACAAAGGCCCGTGACCCCAAAAGATGAAACAAAATAAAGCTTTTTACCTAAGAAATACACTATGCAACTGCATTTACATGTTTTTATATCAGTCTATTAAAGGTTCACAAACAAAATTCACAAACAGGATGTACCGGTAAGACCCATTGTTAGCATGATCAACTCTGTCACTTACAATGTTTCTAAATTTCTGACGTCTATACTTGGTCCTTTAGTTGGCAGCTCAGAACATCATATACAGAACACTATGGACTTTGTKGACAAGGTGAGGGATGTCATCATGGAGGTGGATGAAACTATGGTCTCTTTTGATGTCACATCGCTCTTCACGTGCGTTCCTGTTGATGAGGCAGTGGATGTGGTCTGTGCAAGATTAAAATCAGACACCACTCTCAGCAGCAGAACCACACTTTCYACAGAACAAGTGTGCCAACTCCTCAAACTGTGCCTGGAGTCAACCTACTTCACGTACAGGGGGCAATATAATAGGCAGAAACATGGGTGTGCCATGGGATCCCCAGTTTCTCCTATTGTTGCAAACCTGTACATGGAGGAGGTGGAAAAGACAGCCTTGATGTCCTTTTCAGGGGTGCCACCGAGCCATTGGTTCAGATATGTTGACGACACCTGGATTAAAATTAAAGCCCAGGAAGTCCAACATTTCACTGATCACATCAACTCTGTGGATGAATATATTAAGTTCACACGAGAGGATGTAAAAAATGGCAGGTTGGCGTTCCTGGATTGCGATGTCTCGGTTTCGGATGGAGGACGGTTGGAAACTGGCGTGTATCGTAAGCCCACCCACACAGACCAATATTTGCGTTTTGACTCCCACCACCCACTGGAACACAAGTTAGGAGTGATCAGGACTCTGTACCACAGAGCAGACAGTGTCCCTACAAACCCAGGAGCCAGGGAGAAAGAGAAATCACACACACGACAGGCCCTGGAGCAGTGTGGTTATCCTGACTGGGCTTTCCTGAAAGCAGACAGGAAACACAGACAGGATTCCATGCAACCTTCAGGTGAAAATGAAGACCCCAAACCCAGACCCAAACCAGTGGTTATTCCGTATGTTGCGGGTGTTTCGGAGAAACTGAGATATTTATTTTCTAAACATGATGTCCCAGTAGCTTTCAAACCCCAAAACACATTACGGCAAAGGCTGGTTCACCCCAAAGATCCGGTGCCCCGGCACAAACAGAGCAATATTGTATATGCTGTTAAGTGCCAGGAGGACTGCGACCAGTTATACATCGGGGAAACAAAGCAGCCACTGTTCAAAAGAATGTCCCAACACAGACGAGCTACATCTAATGGCCAGAACTCTGCAGTTTTCACTCATTTACAGGCCAGCGGTCACTCTTTCAGAGATGAGGATGTTCTCATTCTTGATAGAGAGGAACGTTGGTTTGAGAGAGGAGTAAAAGAAGCCATTTTTGTGAAGAAAGACCGTCCATCATTAAACAGAGGTGGAGGCCTCCGCTTTCAGTTGTCCCCCTCTTACAGTGCGGCTATTGCCAGTATCACTCCACCCCCTGTTAACAATAGGTGTTAATTAGGTGTCAACGATAGCCATGTGATGTGAGTATTAGTCACATGGAGGCAGTGTTTAAAAGCCTGAATTTTGCCTGAAACTCTCAGACTGAAGAAGTCTCTTGGAGGAGAGACGAAACGTTTCATTAGAGAAGAACCCGTCCAGAAGACCTATACAATTTTTTTCTTTTTGATTTTTTACCTGGATTACTGAGATGCATCAGGACATCTATTAAAGGTCTTATTAGATGATCTAATCACAAAAAGGCTTTGGAAACCAACAAATCATAGAAGATAACTGCAAATGCCAGTAATGATAAATTGTAAATGACTTCAACTGATACGGCACTTTATCAAGTTCAAGGACTCCATTCGGAAAATATTCACCCATGCAGTCACACATGCATTCAGACACTGAGGCAAACCAGGTGAAATAAAATACATTAGAAGTAGACAGTAAAATATTTAGAAAGAAATTTCTAAATCTTTAAAAATCTGTTTAAAACTTGAGTCGTGACATAGTTTGTAAACCTAATCTTAAGAGAGACCAGGAAGTTTTCAGCAACAGAGACTTCGAACGGAAGCCTAGAACTAATTTTTAATCTACGATTCTAAACATTTACAATATACATTATAAAAACAAATATAGTATTTGATGCCATCATCAATCAAACCTCTTCTTAAACTGAAAGATTTAATTGATTAAGATTCTTGTTTTTCTTCCTTCTCAGAGCTAGATTTCATTATCACTAGCGGTCACTGTCATCATCAAGTTTTTATCAGAGGAATGAGGACAACTGGATTCTTTGAAGAAATTTTTCTTTTGTTGTCTCTGTCATCCAGATTTTGAGTGTGCTGCTGGCCTCAAATCTTAAACATTTTTTTTTCGCCCTTTCCAAAGCAAAGGTTCAAATGCATCAAAAATGTGTTTTTACCAACTTCAGGGAAATTTCCAAACTATTCAAAGAAATTGAATTTATTTGAGTTTTTTGGAATATTCTTCAAAATCTATTGCGCGCATCGCAAATTATTATTATTTTTAAACAATGGTCAAAAAATGCTGAAAAAAGTTCATTTCTAATGACTGAAGGTGCTACTGTGTAACACAATCATCATCAGCTGGAAAGGAGCGAGCAGCTGCTGCTCTCATAACGCACAGTTAATTACTGATTCAGCCTGAGGTAATGGCTGAATTATTGTTATGGGCCATGTGGCAACATCAACAACTGGATTTACAACAAGAAAAACAAAAGACAAGCTAGTTTACAGGAACTTATAACACTATAAAACATCTTTTTAGCTTCAAAATACAGATCAAATTAAAGCAGAAAACGATTAAAGCATCTGCTTCAGAGTTTATTATCTGGATCAAGATATGATCTTAATTTGATTCATTGGTCATGTTGAAGATGACCACATGTCAGAAATACGCACTGCTGCTAAATTATGAAAACACTAACAGAGGCTGCAGCTCAATGCCACAAAACCCAGTAACTGCAAGTCAATCTGCACGTGTGAGCTCGGGTAAATCCTCATTGTAATCTACTTATGTTCATTTAATCTAGCATGCCATGTTCAGTCATGTGCAACTACACCCCCCTACTGTAAAACACTGGTCTCCACCTGGATTTTTTTAGACACCATAATGATGCTACGGCAATTTTTAGAAAAGAAAATCCAAAACTTTTTGGTAAACACTGAGACAGTGTGTGTATACATTTCTTTTTAAATACTGT